AGACTGCATAAACAGCGGAAAAAACCATTTTGTTGGTCGGCTTAAAGTTAATTAGCAGCCGGTGCACGGGCGTCTATACAACATGTTTGACGTTTACTTCCACAGCGATAGTATAAATTTCGACTTTCATAATGACAAACCTACCTAGGTACGAAAACCGCAGTCCGATGAGTAAACGACATTATCCATTTTATTTTGATTGAGGCCGTTGGATTTTGCGATTAAAATCTATGAGTCCGGGTGAAGCCGCGACAGTTTTCGTGAGACAATCGGTAGGTTCGAGTGAAAATTAAAATGTTCACGAAAACGAACTTATCGAGAATTCACAAAAAAGTTGGACACTGTCACACCGATTCCGTTAAACTGTGCGAAACTTTCCGAGGAAAATTCTCTGACTAGAGTAGTGGTTTATGTTCCTTTTCGGAAATGTTGGCAAGCACTATAACGTAGAGGTATAATAATATACAAGGACAATGTTACCGAGGCCATTAGTAACGGGATAACGAGATAAACGATAACAGTAGTTGTTGTAAGACGGAAAACATACTTCTGGAAATTTAGTAATACAAATATGCTAAGCTTTTAATTATAGCATACTAAATATCTCTGAGATGCGCATTTATTCTAAAAATGCGTATAATTACATTGCGATCCAGAAGAATACGATTGTAATTTCATATTTTTCATTTCCACGAATATATTTTCCTAATTCGTATAAATTATTATTAAGCAAGGTCGAATTACAACCATTAGAAATATATTTAACTTCAGATATTTTAGTATTTTTTATATTTATATCGGTAAGAATAACCTTAATGGACCATTTTAGATTCTTTGTCAGATTTTTTAGTACTGTATGTTTTTTTATGATTATTGCCTTGGCTGTTATGTAAGCGCTCTAAATAGTGTAAACTGAACAGCATATATATTTATTTTTCCTTTTTGTAGTAAACATAGAAAAATCTACATAGACATTTTTAAGCTCTATTCTACTATTAAGAAAACGTTATGAAGTTTATTATTTGTTGTATTTTTTACTACAAATAAGCCTCGGCAGCAATTTGCTGACAACTGACAATTTTTGTTTTTTACATAATATTAGTTTTCACTATGATAATACTAATATTTTTTTAAGCATATTATTATTTATTATAACAATATAAGTAGAAGGTATCTCAATAGTATTGCATATTTACGTTTATTTTTTTGTTTATAAATTTGTATTTAATTAATTTATATGATATTAATTATAAACTATACTATATAATATATTATTAAGCATAAATCTGAAAACACTAAAAATCATTATTAACACGCAATGGTGGGATTTCATAATGTAATTATTATCGTTTAAATTAGATACAAACAAAACATAATTACTCATAGTGAATATATATATATATTTATACACATATACACATATACATATATTTTTTTTGGTTTGTTAAAATTGTAAATGACAAATTGTTACTAAAAATTGTAAATTTATTTATGTTCGTGATAAATAATCATCATTTAATGTACGTATCACTTTTTATGATCAATTAAATTTAATATAAATTGCGTACTTATAAAACATTTACATAATATTATCATATACTATATAGCCATATATCCATATATGGGTAGTTACTATACGTAATTCATTTTGCTAAACAAACACGACATGTGCACATGTGTACCTTCATATCATGATTAAACGAAATGTTGTATTAATTATGTTCACCACGAGTTAACCCGAATTAGTCAATGTAGATATTTAAAAAATATAAATATATTACCGTTGATAAATAATTTAAAATAAACTGAACGTTTAAATCCAAATATAAAATAACAGCACGTCGCTATATTATGTACCCACCTTCCAAAAGTTTATGTACGCGTTTGAAAGTAAAACAAATCGAAAAACTTTTTAAAGTTATTCACCCCGAAACCATATACACCTATTTTGTATAAGTGTAAAAAAACACGTTAGCTGCAATTATATAATATTCACGGTAGTCGTGCTAAAAATATTTTTCTGTGCGTTGTAAATCGTACTTTTTTAATTTTACTTAAATCATGTTTGGGTAACGATTATTATGGATTTTAAATAATTTTAGATTATATAATTTAATGCCAGTGGTTGTATATTTTTTTGTTTAGTTCAATAATGTGTAACCGTCACAAATTGCTATTTCAGGTGTAGTCGATATCATATTCAGACAATTCTACCTTTTGTTCAGTCAAAGAAAATAACCCTAACACTAGAGTGTCCTGAAATTTGGGGCTATGTCCAAAAATCGGTGCATACCACTTGCGTTCTAGGATTTATTTAATATTTAAGTTTCGTCTGGATCAAAAGGGTAAAAAAAAGTCCAATTATCCTTTTTATAAGCTAGTTACGGAAAAAAATTGATTTTTGGAGAATACACTTCGTTAAAGTGCAAATATACGATTTATCCATCTCCTTGTACACTACTCACTGAATGTCATATTAATAATGTACGAGTATATAAAGAAAATAACAAATGCTGATCATTATGCATTAACTAATTATTGCAATTATTTTTATACCCATTATAGAAGGTAGGTTGGTATTTATAAGATTTGACACAAACTATAAAATATAATGTTTATAGTTTATTAATAGCATATGAGTGACATGTACGGCAACTGACGAATTCATGACTTTAATAAAAATTAAATAGTACTATTGATTTAACACTCTAAAATAGTTCATGATATTGATGTGTGCAATTACGGGTTAACGTATAATAATAATAATTAATACTCGACCTATAGACTATATAGGTTCTTTGTGTTTCATTAATTTTTAAATTAACTTGTTATTTTGTAGAATATCACTAATCAACAATATGGCATGAAAAAATAACATTTATTTTGTAAATTAGTCAATATTTTTTCGCCGGTTCCTTATTTTAATGTTAAAATTGTTAAATCCCTAAATAAGTATTTGAAAAAAATGATAAAATTAAAAATATTTCAAAAAAATATATATCAGTGTATACTTGGAGAAAATTACAATTCGTGTACTGATTCTACTTTGCTTACTTTCTCTATCTCTCCCTCTATCTATCTATATGCATATAATCACCTATAAATATTTCTCTTTCTCTTTCATGGCCGATATAATTTTATATAAATTTAGACCCTCCTTCGAATTCTGGTCACGTTTTAATTTCGTTGTGCAAATACGTATTAACGGGTAATTATTCGTATAATAAACTCCTTTCTATATCCACTCTGACAGAAACGTCGTTTAAACATCAATATAATATATAATAGGTTATTGCGATGGGGTATTTAGAGGGGTATAGTTAGGGTTTCACCCTTCATCCTATTAAAAAAAAAATCACTTCAATACCCTAAATTATCGATTATAACTTAGATATATGAAAGCACGGGGTCTATATGTTATACATTTTTTTTCTGTACCTAATAAATTGTTTTCAAATAGGAACCGTTTAGTATCAATTCGAAGAAATATAATATTTATGAGTACCCAAATAAAAAATGTTTATATAGTATACTCTGTTCTCATTTGTATTAGTCTTTCTGTCTACTCCTCCAAATTCTTTCTGTCTTCTATTTTCATTTTAATATCTACATATTTTTGATCAAAGCCCTTCCGGGTTTGTGATACGAAATTGATTCTTGATTCGTCGTCCTTTTCCTTTTCTCTCTGGTATGATCTCTCCAAAGAACATATTGCATTGCGCTATTATTTCGCTTAAAGTATCACATGAATACCGAATCATTACAATTGTATTTTTTATATACTATATCATTGACCATTGTAAATTGTATTGTTCTAATATTTGTTAAACTAATTTTTGTCTTATGCATATTGTTACACACTATAACACCACATCTAAAAAAGTTTTTTACGAGTGATTTTTTTTTTTTATAATATATGTAATACTACTATAATAGTAATTTATACCAAGTTTCTACAAACTACAAGGTATAAAAAGTGCCAATATAATTCAAAAAATCCATCGATCATAGGACTGTTTGTCTAAATATAAATCGTTTGTCTTGTGGTACTACCGAGTACATTCCCTCTCTGTAATTTCAAGTTATTTTAAAATTATAAAAGAGTTACGTATCAAATTACTGTCAATTATATATATTTTTTTCATTACTTTATCAGATAATTGTGTATGTCATATTACTGTATTAATATTGTGAGCTACAATAAGTATGTATAATATGTATTATACAATTTTCATTAAAGCAGTAATATATTTATGCGATCTTTCTATTATAACTACCGCAGTAAATTTTAGAAAACAAACTATTGAAAGTAAAAAAAAATGCTCCACGTTTGTATTTTTTTATTTATTTTTAGAACAGAAATACAACGATATTAGTAAAAGTTTTAAAATGTTATAATAATGTAGCTATTCAAGATAAATAACATTTTTTAGATTTATTTTGTGACCTCGCCTAAGTTTTCAAATGCACAATTATTTTAGATAAAAAATATTTTTAAAATGTCTCATCGATCAAAAAATCTTATCTAATTTCATGGAATTTTTTTTCCAGCAGCAAGAAAGATAACATGATGTTAATGTTTTTAAAATTACAAATTCTGAACATTTATTACCAATCATCACCACGAAATAACTAATTGATTGAAATTCGTAATTAATTTTGACTCATATCTGACAGTTTGGTAGTTCACAGAACGCTACACGAAGATCAAACCTGATTTGCTGCGATGATAATAATTAATTTACCATAACACTATGACATGTATCACCATTAAATAGCTTACTACTAAGAAACCGGAATAGACGTGTTGAGACTATTACCTTGTCATATCAAATATGTGTATAATATAATATGTTTTAATTTTCAGTAAATTATATACCTATAATATTAATAGTTTATGGCATTCATATATTTACACTATAAATGTAGTACCTATACATAATATTATGAGGTGAAACGTGCTTGTAAATAAAATTAAAAAACAATATAAGGTAACTCACAGACGACTTTCAGTATAAAATTGTCTTCAAGCGCCATCTTAGGTACTTGAGGATTTTCCGCTCTACAGGTTATCGACTTTCCGTTGTCGTCTGTTGTGGGCACGAACGTCATCTCACTGGATGTAACATTTTCTTTGACATCGTCTTGCTGAAACACAAACAATGACAGATCGCATTACACACAATGCAATATACTTTGGTAAGACCACGTCATAATAGGACTGGATGGGTATAACATAAACATTATATAATATTAATATTATAAAATAATATATACATATTACACACATACACATATTTAGTTCGTGACAAATATTGCATAGCAAATAATTAAAAAAAATCGAGATGATTAAAAAGACATGTGCAAATATTACGATTTCCAATTATATTTTATCCATCGTACTTTATATAGGGGATTAAAATATGAAAATACTATAATAATTACAGACGTTGTGCTCAGCAAAAAAAAAAAATAGTTTTAAATGTTTGTTATAATATTATATCATAGTTTTACCTAACCTATGAGTAATAATGTGTGTGTGTGTGTGTGTGTGTGTGTGTGTGTGTGTGTGTGTGTGTGTGTGTGTGTGTGTGCATTTTATGTATCGAAAAATGATTCAAGCCCCGGGTTACACTACGCTTATTGTCATCGGGTAAAGACTTATGTCCAAGCTTATGTCATGTCTAAAAATGTAACTACAATATCTTATCTTCTATAATACATAAGCCCTTAGAGCCCAGAATGTGTCTCGGTTTGGTGTCTAGACTATTGCTGTCAATAGACGGATTTCGACTTTTTTTTTATGTCTCTTCAGACGATCTTACCCCGTCCAGCTATTACAAGTTACATCACTGGTTAAATTTTAATTAAATTCATGAAGATGAAACACTTGTGATGCATTTTCTGTCTATCAGCTCATCTGCACCTTTTCCTGGATCTGTTTCATTTTCAACGAAACATACCGATCTAATGGCTGGGTAAATTGGTAAATCACGAGAGAAGTTTTATTTTCAGAATTAAGATTATAATACAATGGGGTTTTATTAGTGAAAGAAACTTGTCCAGTAATTGCAGTGACAATCAGAATCCACAGCATACAATTAATTAATTTTCACGATACCCATTCGTCTATTTGCAATTATTTAGTGTTTTATGACTTATACAATAATTAACATCGAAATTGATAACCTTTTTATGTGCGATATAAAATATTTATAACGTTCAATGGTCGTGTACAACGCATACAGAAAATACGTTTTAATAATATTTTAATATTATATTTGTCGAAGGGATTTGAGTATAATATATATATATATATACTTATTGGATTCTATAAAACAAGTAAATATATTTCGATTGAAATTTTTTTTCTCTAAAGCCCTTAATTTAAAAGGTATTTGATACACAAACAACATCAATACATATTGAGGATTGTGTATAATTGTTACGATACGCCTTTTCGAAGAACGACTTCCATGCTAAATTAAACACACTTCAATAAATAGATACTATTCAATTTATACTATTGTTTTTTTTTTATTATAAGAACGGTGTTTGTTGAAAATAAATTGATTTTTTATTCAACATTATTATTTATTTATTTTTATTTTAGTTATATTTACTTAAATATTTATGTACTATAACATTTAATATTGATAAAAAAAAAGAACGACAATATCTTCGAACAATACTTTCACAAGACACAAATACACCCACATTATATTTTACCATACCAACTCAATTAAATTTTCGAGAAATATAGTAGTGAAAGGGATGTTTCGCACAGATATCAACATCGAATAAAAACGAACGGCATTATATCATCGGTATGAGTCGGTATATCTCCAAGCCAACTATTGTAATTTAACAGATCTAAAGCAAATTGTAAGGTATATGGTTTCCCATCGACATCATAACCAGACTAAGTTTTACGTGCTTACATAATATAATATGATATATATGCGTAAATACGTCATCACCCGCATCTATTCAACAAGCAGCTTATATAATATATGGGCATTATATTATTATGACTCAATTTAAAAGTTTTCGCAGCATGTTAAACCTCTTTCAAAATTCTTTTTCTAGTTTGCTTTTAACTTTAAATAATTATGTTATTTAATCCAACACCGACTATTATTGGTTAGATATTTCCATGTCATACTATCCTATACTTTTTGGAATAAAACCAGGCATTTCTAAGTAACTACCTCGATCACTTAAAATAGTGGTAATACAGAAGCTGAAATGTAAATTATATTTAGATCAATCTGTTTTTTCTATCAAAAATAAAAAAAATGAATAATGGTATTACAAACTATGAATAACATATTTAATTAAGGCATCTTGGATGATAGACAAAGCCAACAAATTGTTGGTTTATTATTACCTTCTAACCGGGTAAATTTTTTTTTTTAATAATAATCATTAAACGTTGAAATAGCGTTTCTTAGTATGGCTTATGATAGTAAAGATATAACACCCAAATCCATAAATCGTACCGTCGAAATTCGTGAACTTTCTGTCATTCGCTGTATTGAACAATATTCGCACCTGTTGGTTCGCATAATTTTAGCAGGTATATTAGTACAGTTGTAGTATATCATTGTCAACGAAAGAGAGCAACATACCGTTTCATAGGTAACACACGCTGATGTACCAAAATTGCCTATACACCACGCCGGTTAACAATTTTAGAATAATAATATACGATTTGTTCACTTTCTCTCATACGCTTCTACAAGAGTAGATGCAGCAGTGTATTTAGTATACACAGTTTTTAATTAACTAGCATAAAATAATATTAGTAAATTCGTATTTGTTGTGGCTGTTAAAAACAAATGCAATAGGTTGAGTGCGTACGAGAAACCCGAAAGTATAAGAGTTTTATATTAAACAATTTCACCATACCCACTCACTTGGTTGAATTTTAGATGGGCCATCACACCATTTATATAGGTATGATGGACATCAAGTCACCTTATAAGATGTACTGTGGCGTTGATAAAATAATATTATATATCGTCGCTAAAATATGTAAATTGCTCGATGCGGTGGTGGCGCAAAGTGTTGGAGTTTTGGCACATTAACGGTTCGCGACGGTTCGCGAGTCAACGTCGTCGGACGAGCGGATAGGGGATTTTAGAAAGGTCAAAGATTCAGTTATTCCCTAGGGAAAAGACAATCGGTGGAGGTGGCGGTGCGTCGGTTGCTAAAGAGTGGTCGGCGGTCGGGCCTCTGAAGGGTGTCGGTGCGGTAGGCTTGTGCGGCCGAGGGTTTGCCAAAAACATTTTCAGCAAATTCTTCAAGTTTAGATTGTTATAATAATAATAATAATAATAATATGATGTAGTGTTATACATATAATATAACTTAACGAAATGTGCGAAAGCTCGAAAACTAGCTATACGCCTATATACAGCACACTCACACCCACACACACTTTATAATATTATAATATTACTCCTCATAGTTGTATGAACCCTCGATGAAATCCACCCCGTGAAAAACCCTTCTCCACACAGAAATCGACCGTCATCCCCCCAATGGTTTTTCCGTAAAAACCCGGTCGAAAGCATCGTTCCAGGATCACATATGCTCCTAGCCTTCTGGTACGTTTTCACAATATCCAAGAATATACAAGAATACACCTCATATTAAAATGTATTTTAAATTTATGAGAATTTTATCATAGTGAAATTTGAAATAATATTGCTTAATTTACTTTCACGGCATGTTTTATTTTATCCATACTGAATAAAATGCTTTGATATATTTACGAAACTTAAAACCTTAGTAGAAAGAAAAATGATTTTCAGATGAAATTGAATGAGATTATTTTTTTTATTAGGCTTGTCGCATTTTGTTTGCATCATATTTGGTCATTGGCCTTAGTTATGAATCAAACACGTAGGAACGATGCGTCAGCCGGATAAGAATGGGCCCGGTTTCATAATATCATCTTGTGGCCCTAAATTGTGAGGCTCGAGTACATTTTTCACGACACGGACGCGAAAAAAAATGACTAACGTTCTGTTTAAAGTTTCATCGAGCATTACGTCCCGAATGCAACGCGCCCTGAAAGTATATTATACACACCCTCTCACTCACGCCCACCCAGATCCCCGAACACAGGTATAATAACGTGTACGTGTGTATAGGCGCACACACGCGTACGTGTAATATACGAACATCGAGTTAAGTCCGTGAATTCTTCATGCGTCATTTCCCATCCATCCATCCCCCCTCCCCCACCACGGACTTTGCCTCATCCACGCACGTCATGCCAAGGAGCGAACGCCCGTGTGTTGGGGAGGGGAGGGGGTAAATTATGGCGGGGAGGTGCACCCGCAGCTACTATACGTACGTGACGGACAAATCGTCTGCGCGAGCGTTACCCATAAAATCGGACGATTTTTTTTTTTATCATCCAAACGAGTACGACCGACTCGTACCCATGTATATACATTGTATACAATGTGCTTCTATTGTCAGTACATACAGTTACTTTTTTTTTTTTTGATAAATTTATATTTTTGTGAACAATTTTTTTTATTGATGATGATGATGATGATTTAAAGTCATTACGACAAACAGTTTAAAAAGTACAATGTTAAAATGTTCCACATTTTTGACACCAATATTTACTAATGATTTCCGGTCGGTTTTTATTTATCCGAGTTATCTTTAAAATATTATAAAATAATATATTAATACGTCATTGAAAAACGTAAAAACGTAGTTGAAGTACACGAATTATACATCAAATTATGTATCACGGGAAAAAAAAAATGTTCGCCCGGAGAGTTTTCTTGTAGAATATGACCGTCCGGTGATAAAGCAATCGCTCTGTATGCACGCGGGCGGGCACGAGGTCCACCCGCTAGCCAGTCCGGTCGCACATGCACACAGCCGTAAATCATCGGACGATTTCATCTCGTATCATTTATAGTATACAATATATTATACAGTATACACTATTGCAGCACTGCTCTAAATAATAACATATAGTAATATAATATATACACTGGATTGGCCACCCAGCTACGAGGCCGGTTTCCGCCACTGCTGGAATAAGACGAATGTGTGAAAAAGGTTCAAAAATATTTTGCATACCTACACGATATAAATATATGAACACAATATAA